CGGATAAGACGCAGGTGAATTTGAGAGTCAACATTTTTTTGTGTAAACCATATTATTGCATAAGATAAGACGCACCAATTCTGTTTCAGGGCAACACTTTCACCATTGTGAGAGGATTTTTCATTAATAACCACAAGTCAAAATAACGGAAATCAAAGTTTATTGTTTTTAACTGACTAGACACCGACCCGTTCCACGAACGGTGATAGAGAGATAGGAAAGCCCACGATAAAATGTTTGTACCGGAACCTTATTCATTGTCTTAGGACCTCTGTGTAGACAACAGTGCTGGTTTTTTATATGCGGCATCTGGAACTCCGTTTTGGGCAGCAGGCCCCTTTGCATGTATCCTAACAGAGTCCCTGGACCCAGCTCGACTCATTGCGACATATAATTGTCCACGTGAAAAAATCGCTTTCTAAAGAAACCCCTATCCTTTTCAAAGTTTGTCCCTGAGCTTTGTTGGCAGTCATTAGAAAAGCAGGTCTAACCGGAAATTGTTTCCGTCGCATATGGAAGGAAAATAATAGGCATGAGAGGAATCCTTGGGATGAAAAGTCTCTCTCCGGCATGTGGACCGCAAGCAACGACCGCATCAGTTACATGTTGATGAAGGTGTTGTACCACATATCGAGTACCGTTGCGTGATGTTTGTGGGATCCAGATTTCTCAGCAACATGAGAATGCTGTCTTTCCGCAATGTCAGTTTGTGGGGTGGCATACATGACGGACATAGAGAATTGATAAATTCGATGGGGTATTGGTGTTCATTTTCTTCCTCCGAATCATTGCTATTGTAGACTTTTTCTTCTGCGGGAAAGGACTGCATGATCATGTAGTTGATTCTGTCTACTTCTGTGTTGGTGGGACAAATGATGCAGCGGGAAGCCAGCCCGTCAGGATTTGTGTTTGACTGCAAGTTACCGAAGACAAAATGTACCAACTTTCGTTCGCTGTTCACTGTAATATCATCTAGCAGTTTTATCGCAAACTCCCCGATTTGCTTGCATACGTTGTGTTTGCCATCTCCAATGTTCAGTAGATAGTTGGAGAAATCAGCAGTTTCACCTTTAAGCAAAACCCTCATGTTTCGTGTCAGTCTGAGCACATTAATATGCTCCCACAGATATGATGATTTCAGGGTTGCATTGACTATCTGTGATCTTGAGCCATGGCGAACTACTGGTAGTATTTGGCGCCAGTCACCCGACATCAGCACTGTTAACCCACCAAACAGAGAGTTATTCACACATATGTCTTGAAGTGTTCGGTCTATGGCTTCAAAGATGTGTTTGTGGCCCATCGATTCTTCATCAATGATGAGCAGCTCTGTTTGGCGTAATAAAGTGCATCTCGGGAACTCACACTGCATATGGACTGTTCGTTCACACACAGAGGTATTTTGCATCTACTGTGTAATGTTCTGCCATTTGAGAGCAGAGCTGCTGCAATTCCTGACAGAGCTGTAGCAAGGGCGATCTTCTTAAAGGAACGAACAGCCACAAGAATAAGATTTATAGTGTGGGTGTTTCCAAGGCCCTCCACTTGCCTCCAGGGCAAATATCTTGCCTTGCTTTTGTACAACTGAATCTATCACAGCATCATACACGACTCTTCGTTCTTCAATAAGCTTTGGGAACTCTTGACTCACCTTCTCTGTCAGGTTGTTTGTGTCAAAATTTAACTCCTCGTGGACAATTCTTGGTTGTTTTCCCTCAACGTGACTATGTTCTGCAGGTGGTAGCTGAACGTCTTTATGCAGATCCAGCCCATCATTATTAAGAATGTGCTGAAGTTGTAGCAACACTTGGTTCTCAATCTGAGGATTCAACTCTGTGACCTTGTCTCATCATGATGTCCCAGCACAGCTCCAATTTGTGCTTG